TTATTGGAGTCAATCTCATTGAACTAGACCCAGGGGAAATGTTATTGACTCCCACCCTGCCACAGTACACCCAGACCTTAGCATTTACAGAGTGCCTCTACACTTGTTTGCTTCCCACAATATCCCTGTGAGGAATGTCTGCAAAGAACTATCTTCTTGAGGCTCACAGGGCCAGGGCTCAAAATTCTGACCTCTGACTAAGTCATGTAGGAGTTAGCCTTGCTTTACTGGGCCTGTACTCTCTGCCCCTACTTCCTCTCAGACAGGGAAAGGAGCTTCAAGATTAGAGGGTGATATGCCTATGGGAAGACCAGCAGTGCAGGTCAGTCACTGGGCAGGGTTGGGAGGGAGGAGGAAAATGGTGGGGTGGGGGGCAGAAAGGGGTGAGGGAAAAGAGATACTATCTCCACTGAATGAAAGGGTCTTTCTCACTCGTGACAGTATAGGATGAGGATTGTAACCCCCAAATGCCTTTCTTTAAGGGTTAGGCAAGTAACACAAATGAAACATGCTGAGTCAGGGATACAACATGGAGTAGTGGGGACTGCCCATGTCTGGGGCAGCCACTACTCAGCCCTGGTCAATAAGTTGTTGCTATAAAGATTCAATGTTGCCGAATTTTCTGATCTTCTTCCCTGCACCAAAAACAAACAAACAGACCCTACCAAACAAGAAATCTAGGTGGTGATGTGAATTCTTCCAATTTAAATGTTGGCTCAATTGTTTAAACACACACACACACACACACACACGACCAAAACAAATATGTTTACCATATCTGGCCTATTCACTGGTTGTATGCTTGAGCAGTGAGAGACTGCCTCTCCTCCTGGCTCAGGGTACAGTGAGTGCTGGATAAACAACTCGTGGATTAAGCCCATCCATTTCCAAGGTCTGGTCTCCCTCCCTACTCTGAGCAGGAACTGTTTCTGCAACTTGAGAGGAGATGGGGCCTACAGACACTTGCTATAATGTGAGAAATTAGCTTCTAGTTCTCAGAAAGGGATTTTGCAGACAAATCCTCCTCCACACCCATCTCTGCCATGTATCTAACATCACTATGCAGTTTCAGATTTTGAAGAATATGCAAAATAGCTCTGAGGAGGCTGAGACCTGAAAGCCACTAGTAAAAAGTATAAATAGGACCTCATCATAACAATTATTTATTGAGTGCCTACTATATGTACTGAGCTCATGCCTCCAACTCAAACCCTGGCTTGCGCTCTTTGAAGAGCTGTTGGTGGGGAACATGGCAAGAACTCTTCCCTTCATCACTGACCTCATTCCCAGGGGCATTTGTTGCTCCCAATTTGAGGAGACAAGTGGTATCCATTAGATGTCACCTTGATGAAGCATCCAAGACTTGCTCCAGGTGAGGCCCTTTCTCTACTGCCAGTGTTGTGCACTCTGTATTGTTACTGGTCCTAAGTCCACCTCCTGGATGACACCAAGCTACCCCAGGACTGGTGCTGTCTTACTCATTTCTGTAATCTTAGGGGGCAGCTAGCATGTGAGCTGGCATGCTTGTTGACTGACACCACCAGTGAAAGGGCTCTAGACTTGAGAGAATAAGAGAGGGTGACTGAAGTGTATAGAGTCACTCCTTTGACCCAGGTGTTTCATGTAGGTGACCCCATGGAATCCTCACCACAATCTGGTGAGGTAGCCATCATCATCCCTGTTTTATAGAAGAAGGAAGTAAAGCTCAGAAGAGATAAGACCTATCCAAGTTCACACAGCTAGGAAGAGACAAGCCTGGATACTCAGTGCTAGATGCTGAGAGAGAGGTTACTTCACATTACTTGCCTTCTGTGGGTACAGTTCTAGATGCAGCAAGCCTGATTAAAAATGTGGGTACAGGGCACCAGATGCATGGGAGTGATGGTGGAAGGACAGTCCCAAATGGGTGGGCATTTAGCCTCACTCAACCTCAAAAAACTATAGCCTGTGCCTCTCCCAGGAACACAGGCAACTCTGAGGAGGAAAGAGAAGAGCCTCACAGCTTGGATACTTCTCTGGGCACAGATCATGTAGTGCTTTAGGAAGGCTTCCTCTGGTTCCTATACACTCTAATTGTTACTGATAGAAATATAATTGTTTGGGTAGCCCTCCCCCATGCTCAGACAAAAAGGTCATGTTCAGTACCCAGTGTTTGGGCACAAATAAATATTCACCTTGTTTTCCTCTATTGAAGCAGAGAAAGAACCTGGGGAACCTGTGAGGAAAGGAACTAAAGAAGGGGAAGGGGCAGATGACAAACCTTGGGCATTCTGACCCTGCCTAGAAATTCCACAAAGAACTCCCTGAACTCAATGGACAGGTCTCCCGGTCCTTTGCTTTGGTCCTGGCTCCCACTAGCCCTAGCTTCACCTTGTAAAGACAGTTCTATTTCAAAAGGGTTATATACTCCAGACCTCATACAATGGTCTCAAGTTCAAATTCTCAGGCCTTTTGCCAGAACACAGCCTTCTTTATGGTCTTCTCTGGAAGTTAGAACTCTTCCCATTTACCCCACCCCCACTGCATTCCTCACAGGGCATGCCTGGCCTCTAGTTCCATTCCTTTGGTAGTTGTCCTTGGTGTGATTAACTCCATCACACCCTAGGCCTATGAAGGGATCTGGTCAGCAGGTGCCAAAGTTGTCCTACATCTGGAAGCAGCTGGGCCAGTGCTGGACAACTCCTGTCATCCAAAAACTCTCCCTCCAGCTGGCATTCTGTCTCTGGGGCCTCACAGAACAGGCCTAAGCCCTGTTTTTTGGGAAGATTCTTTGAAGGCAGTGACCCCAGCTCTACTGTTCTGACTCCTCCGGCCTGGGGTTCCCTGATCTAGCCCACAAATCAACAGCTCTAGGGGAGCAGAAAAGAGGTTTGCTTAGACATGCTGTTTACCTCAGGGTCCTTGAGGACTGGAATAAAGTCAGAGCTGAAGTTTGGGCTGAAACCAAAGCCAGGTGGTGGAAGACCAGGTGGGAGCTCTGGCTGAAGCTCTTGCCACACTCACCAGTGTGTGTTGGTGCTGCAACTGTCTACAAAATGTTTGCTGCAATTGGGGCGCCCATAGAGCTTCTTGCCTGTATGTGAGCTTTGGTGTTTAAGGAGCCTGGAGATGAAGCAGAGGGTTCTGCTTCATTCTGGACAGGCATAGGGCCATTTACCCAAGTGGATGTGCTAGTACTCAGTGAACTGGGAGTGCTCACTAAAGCCATGGCCACACTCAGGATACTTGAAGGGCTCCTCCCCATTGTGGGTGCATTGGTGCCTTAGGCAGTCAGCTGTTGCTGAAGTTCTTGCCACACTCACAGTGTGAACATTGGTGCTTGAGCAGATAAGAACTGCACCAAAGCTGTCACCGCACCAGGCATAGCAGTAGCGTTTCTCGCCTGTGTGCGTGCGCTGGTGCTGGATCAGGTTGGAGCTAATGGTCTTACCACACTATGCACAGGTATAGAGTTCTCATGCTTGCGCACTCATTGTTTAAACAGGTCTGAGCTGTGGCCAAAAGCCTCCTTGCACTCTGGGCACTTGGGCAGGAGGCCTGAGTGAGCGCAACAGTGTTGATTGAGGTTGGAGCTGAGGCTGAAGCAACAGCCATACTCAGGGTAGGGGTATGGTTTCTTGCCAGTGTGTACCTGGTGGTGCTTAACCAGATCTAAGTGTTAGTGTGGCAGCCTGACTCTGCATGGCCATTTCCTGCTCGAAAAGTTCGTTCCTGACTGTCCGCCACCCCCGCCCCCCACCGCCCTTCCAAGGACTCTCCGGCTGACATCAATTTTCTCATTGTTTGCCAATCAATGTCCTTCCTTATATCTGTAGCTGTGTAGGAATGACAAGACTGTATAAAACTGCCCGTTATGTTACAATTGGGGCTCAGCTCCGATAAGAATCTGCTGAACTGGTGCCCACATCAATAAATGCTGCTTCCTGCTTATAGCCTCAGTGTCCATCTCCCCGTTCCAGAATCCCGCAACATTAGGTCTAGGAGGGCCCTATCCCTACCCCCATAGTGTGGGAACCAGACTTCTCCCTTACTTTTGTGTGGGAACCAGACCTTGCATCTGGGTTGGCAATGCTACAAGCTCTCTTCCCGCTTTACTGGGCTCTCCTTTCCCTGCCAATTTACCCGCCCCAGATATTCCTGCCAAAAGACCCGCCTCAGGCCCCACATAAGTTTCAGGTCCCCTCACATTCTGGGCTGACGCCACTTGTGGCTCAGCCATTCTGTCACTCTGCTACAATAAATCTTGCTTAACTCCTTTGGCCTTGTGTGTTCCTCTTTCGGCAAACCTAACACAGAGCGATGTCGGAAGCTTTTGCCACACTCAGGACAGCCGTAGGGCTTTTCACCCGGGTGGCTGCTTTGGTGGTGAATGAGGTCAGTCCACACTCCTGGCACTCAAAGGCTCTGGGGATTGCAGAACAGCTGGTCCTGGCAGGGTCTTCTTCCTCCCCAGATCCTGAGCCTGCCCTATAGATTGGACGGAAATGGAAAGTCCACTACCCCGCACTGCCCTAGGAAACGGCAGCAAATGGTTTCGGTAGGTTTAACCCTCTCATTCACCCTTCTGTGGACGCTGTCAGGAACTTGACACTTTAGGCCTGGCTCGGGGTTCCGAGTACGTCAACGCTGTCTTCCGTGCTCAGCCACCGCTGCGGGACGGCGAAGCAAGCATGAAGGAAAAGGCGATTGCTTGCTGAGGACACCCTGGATGCAGATTAGCCAAGTCGTCTGGTGCAGCATGATACATGAGACTCCATGGTCGCATGTGTGCGCTCTCCAGAGGCACCAGCCCACTCAGGGTACCCTGAGAGAACTTCTCATCGACGCTAAGTCAGGCATGTTGAACTTGGCATGGACTACATATCCCAGCATGCACCGCACGCGACTCCCGGGCTCGAGCAACGATTATACAATCACAACCCTCGAAGTGCTTTCTGCGACTGTGCAGAGTCAGAGTACCGGGATCGAGAACTACAACTTCCGACTTGCTTAGTAACTGCAGCGGCGCTATTTAAAAAGCGTCAGCGAGGAGGTGCTTGGCTACGTCCCTCTCTTCCAGTTCCGCTCCCTTGGATCAGCGGCGAGAGGGGGAGGAGCTTTAGGCCTGAGCCAAGATGGCGACTGCGAAACCAACCCCCACGGACTCGCTCTCGTTCTGCCTCGCGCAGCTCACAGCGGCGGCCGGGGAGGGTCTAGGTGGGGGAAAGGACACAGCTACCAACGAGACACCCTTGGGGCGTGCGCTCTTAGCCCTCCGCACGCGCCACGTCAAGGCAGCGGGTGGAATCGAGCGCTTCCGGGCACGCGGCGGGCTCCGCCCCCTTCTCGCGCTGCTGCGGCGAGCGTCTGCAGCGGGCCCCGCCCCGTCCCAGGTTTGCCCCGGCTCCACCCCTTTGTCGGTCCAGTCAGCGGCTTCTGCTGGCCCCGCCCCCTCGTCGGACTCCTCCCCCTCCATTGCGTCCTCGTCGTCGCCCTCGCCGCCAGCGCGCCTGCGCAAGACCCTGGACTTGGCGCTCAGCATCTTAGCCAACTGCTGTACGGAAGGGGCGTGCCGGGCTGAAGTGCGCAGACTCGGAGGCATTCTCCCTTTGGGTAAGTGCTCCGCCCTTATTACCTAGAAGGATTCCAAGCATGCCTCCCTTCTTGTTTCCTACTGGGCGGTATTTTGAGTTCTTTGTGTTGTATTCTTGAAAAACGTGCTTTATGATGGCGCAACGCCCCCATCTCAAGCCTTCACGCCACATTACCTTACGGCTCTGTTTACAGATTACATCCGAGCCCTCTTAGATCAGATCAGTACAGTCATTGCTTGGGTATTGGTTGTCTGGTACCTTCCTCGCATCTGGGCTGGTGAAGCCAGAGGGTTATTTGGTGACTTTTAGATGATTTTCATCCTCCATTTATGAGGTTCACAGCAGACAATGTCTTCTGAATGTCCGGTCCTATGCAGGGCTCTCATTTGATTAGCCAGATGTCCGACAGTGTAGTGGTCCACAAAGTGGGCTCTGCAGAAAGCTGTACTCCGAGGCTAGAATGCCTTGTTGTAAAATGGTATAATAATAGCTACGTCTCAAAATTGGGAATTGAGAGAAAATGAAATACAAATATAGAACTCAGATACTGTTAAGCATGAGCTGGGTACTTCGAGTTATTAAAAACTGTAAGAACAAATCCTAACAAGATAGCAAGCGTTTGTTTTATCAGCTAGATTGTGCCTCCTAGTGGCAGCATTGTGAACACAGTTTACACAGAGCCTGTCTGAAATGCCAGTTTTGACAAAATCTTAACTTTTTGGATAAAATGAAACAATATATTTCAAATTTGCATAAAATGCATTTGGACCGAAAGGTGTTCGACAAGGGGCCTGGCACATTAATAAGTTCTCAATTATAGGTTTTGTTATTAGTTTTTAACCCCCATCATTCAATTATTATTCTGTGTTTTAAATATCTCCTGAATCCATCCACTTCTATCCCTCTTCTATCATATGCCCAGAGACTTGTTCCCGTGTGCTAGGCTGTGCTGCTAGCTGACTTGGTTCAAGCCATTGTCCTTTCTCACCTGGACTATTGCAACAGCCTTTTTGCTGCTTCCCTTACCTTGTTCTTTTTCTGCTGTAATCCATTTTCCCCCAGCTGCCAGAGTCTATCATGACATTCCTGTTCTTCAAGCCCTATATGGCTCCCAGTGCCCCCACATTCAAGCCCTGATTCCTTGGCTTGGCATTTGAGGCCTTTCATGAGGTCATAGCAGACACTGGATCTCACCTCTGGGACCTTGCAAAGGCTGCTTCCAAACCTGAAATTCCCTGTAACAGCCCCATCCATCATCCTTCTAGTATATACGTATCTATTTAACCTTTCAGACCCAGCAAGTGTTAGCTTCTTCCGGAGGCTTCCCCTGACCCTCTCAGGCCACATTCTTGAGGTGAATAATGAGAGAGACAAGAAGGGGTAGAACCTTCAAGAGGCCAAACTCTCTTGCAGTGACGATTCTGCAGTATGTGAAGACAGACAGCATCCAGAACCGAACAGCTCGTGCTCTGGGCAACTTAGCCATGGAACCTGAGAGCTGTGACAACATCCATTCTGCTGGTGAGATGGTTATGAGAGTGGAGTTAGCTAGGGCTTGGGGTAGGAAAGAGGCTTGGGTGTCTGTTTTTGCTCATTCTGTCCTCCCCTTTTCTCTCCAGGTGCTGTTCCCCTGCTTGTTGAGAGCTTGATGGCCTGCCAGGACTCACAGTGCCTGCAGAGTGTGGTTCGTGCCCTCCGCAACCTGGCAGACTCACCCCAGCACCGCCTGGCCCTGGCACAGCAGGGAGCAGTGCGCCCACTGGCTGAGCTTCTGGCTGCTGCCCCAGACCCTGAACTGACCTTGGCCTTAGTCCGTGCCCTCCTAGAGTTGAGTCGAGGCTGCTCCCGGGCCTGTGCTGAGCAACTAAGTTTGGGTGGGGGACTAGGCCCACTGGTCAGCCTGGCCTCCCACCCCAAAAAGGCGGTACGCGAGGCAAGTATCCTGATCCTTGCCAACCTGTGTGCCCAGGGCCTGGTACGGCCTGCACTGGGCAATGCTGGTGGTGTGGAGGTGTTACTGGGTGAACTCCAGCGGCGCCGGGGTCCCAGTGGGGCTGGCCTAGCCTCCCAGCAACCCCTAGTGAGGGCTGTGTGTCTGCTGTGCCGGGAGGCCATCAACAGGGCCCGGCTGCGGGATGCTGGTGGTTTGGAGCTGCTGATGGGCCTGTTGCGGGACCCTTGTGCCAGTGCCTGGCACCCTCGTGTTGTGGCTGCCCTCGTGGGCTTCCTCTATGATACAGGGGCCCTGGGCCGGCTGCAGGTTCTGGGACTTGTACCTCTCTTGGCTGGGCAGCTGTGTGGTGAGGCCGGTGATGAGGAGGAAGAAGGAAGAGAAGCTGCTTCCTGGGACTTTCCTGAGGAGCAGACCCCTGAGCGGGTAGAGGCTGGTAGTTTCCGAAGCCTCAGGTGAGTCCCCACCTCAGGCTTTGGGATGGGGGTTTCCGTCTACTCTGGCTCTCTTCTCTACCCCCAGTCTGTCTCAGTAAGACTTAGACTTATTGACTCTAACTCCTCATTCCTTGTTTTTCCCAGACGTGACCACTTTCCATGTTCCCATTAAACACATCTCTCCCCTGGGTCCACTTTTGACCTTGGCTTCACCCTAGCACCTCTGAACTTAGGGCTCAGACAGGTTCACTGGAAGGTAATATGTAGACTGGTGGTGATATGTTCTGGAGTCTTAAGTTCTTATTCTCGTACTACATACAAGCTAAGTTATCATGGGAAAGTTAACTTCACTGAGCCGCTAATTCTTGTATGTAAAATGGAGGATAATATATACCCACCCTTTAGAGTTTTTATAAAGATTAAATGAGAGTACATTGCACTTTATGTGACACTAAACAGCACTTAATGAACATCATCCATCTTGTGAACTCTCTGACTTCATCTCCTGCCACTCTCCCTGGTGCCCACTACACTCTTGCACACTAGCCTCATAGCTAGTTTTTGAACATGACAGATAAGTACCATTTCCGGGGCTCTTCGGTTGCTGTAGGCACTCTTCCTCCTATATGCCTTGTTTAATCTTATCTTCTCAGTGAGAGCTACCATCACCAGTGCATTTAAAATGTTAGCTTTTCCCTCCCCTGGTTCTTTTCTATTCCCTTTTGTTTTTCTCCATATGTACCACTTCACTAACTCCACATTAACATACTCTGTGCGTTCCTTATATGTTTTATTGCTTGTTTCCCCTTATTAGAATATAAACTCTAGGAGGATAGGAAGTTTTGTTTTGTTCATAGCTTCTCCCCAGCATCTAAAATGGGGCTTGGCATATAACAGGCATTAGTAATTGCTGAATGATTTGGGATCATTCCATCTCCCTTGGCTCTGAGTTCAGTCTCCCCATTCTCCCCTCTGCAGGTCATGGCTGATATCTGAGGGCTATGCCGCAGGCCCAGGAGACATCTCCCCAGACTGGTCCCCAGAGCGCTGTCCTCCGCTTCCACCACCTGAGCCAGCCGAGCCAGCTAGCCCCACCCGGGGTACAGCCTTGCTTCGGACGCCTCGTGCACTGCGCACACCAGGGCCAGGCCGCAGTCCTGCCACCACTGAGGAGCCTTGGGGCCGCGAGGGGCCAGCACTGCTGCTGCTGTCGCGCTTCTCCCAGGCTCCCGACCCCAGTGGGGCGCTGGTGACTGGCCCAGCCCTGTGTGGCCTACTGGCCTATGTGACTGGCGCACCGGGCCCACCGAACCCACGTGCACTTCGTATCCTGGCGCGCCTCACCTGCAACCCAGCTTGCCTTGAGGCCTTCGTTCGCAGCTATGGTGCCGCGTTGCTGCGAGCCTGGCTGGTGCTTGGTGTAGCCCCAGATGACTGGCCCATACTGCGTGCCCGGCCCCTCAGTCGCCGCAGCCAGCACCAGTACCAGCACCGGGAGCTGGGTGTGTCCCTGTGCCTCTCCACTCCATCCTTCACTTTTGCCTTTTGTGAGCCTAGAACCTCACCTTACCACTCAGCCTTCTCTCACTGCTCCCCTAGCCCACCATCCAAACAACCTCAGCCACTAGGAATATGGAAGAGAGCTCTATCCTGCTTCACTGTCCCAGCATGCAGAGTTCTGCTCCATCCTCTGCCCAAGCCTTGGGGCCCAGCTTAACCCCAGCAACTTAGACTTGTGCCTGTCTGCATTTTCTTACCCAGTCTACTCTTGGTTCAGCATTGTTTTGACTACTTCCCTACTGGGCACACTGACTCATGAACCCAGGCTCAAGCACCATGTCCTTTTAGACCCTACCACCATTTCCAACATTGCCCTGCCTTCTGTGCCCTGTTTCCATCCTTGAGGGCCCTGACACATTCCCTGACCATTCTACTTCCTGTTCTTGGCCTTGACCTCCAATTCCTAGCACTGGGACCTCATCTCTCCAGGGCCTGTGGTCATCCTCTTTTCCTGTGCCCTGATTTTTTGCCCTGAGGTTTTGCCTTCTTTTCAGGGGTCCAGAGGCTTGTCTTGCCCATCCCACCCCAATCTTGGATACCAGTTCCCAACCTGATCTACTCTGCCCATCCTTGCAGGTGAGATGCTGCTGCAGAACCTGTCTGTGCAGGCCGAATCGCCCTTTGGTGTGGGTGCCCTCACGCACTTGCTGCTCTCTGGGAGCCCTGAGGACCGTGTGGCCTGCGCACTGACCCTGCCCTTCATCTGTCGGTGAGGGGGATGTGGGTGCCTTTTAGGGGTCAGGGGAGCAAGGTTGCTATTCCCCAGCCCCACCCTTTTGCACCTTTCGAAGAATTCTCTTTCTCCCTAAAGGAAGCCCTCTCTGTGGCGCCGACTACTTCTGGACCAGGGTGGCCTCCGTCTCCTCCTCTCGGCACTAACTCAGCCAGCTCCACATCCACTCTTCCTCTTCTTTGCTGCGGATTCCCTTTCCTGCCTTCAAGGCCTGGTGTCTCCCACAAGGAGCCTAGCCTTCCCACCTGCAATCCCCTTGGACCTAGACCTGCCCTCCCCTTGCCTCTATGAACCTCTGCTGGGCCCAGCCCCCATCCCAGACCCTGATCTGCACTTCCTACTAGACTCAGGCCTACGGCTCCCTGCCCAGCGAGCTGCCTCATCTACTGCCTCCCCTTTCTTCCGGGCTCTGCTAGCTGGCAACTTCGCTGAAGCCCAGATGGACCTAGTACCACTTCGAGGCCTATCACCCAGTGCAGCCTGGCCTGTTCTGCATCACTTGCATGGCTGCCGGGGCTGTGGGGCATCCCTGGGCCCCATTCCCCCGCCAGGCCAGCCCCTGCTGGGCTCAGAGGCTGAGGAGGCACTGGAAGCTGCTGGCCGTTTCCTGCTGCCTGGGCTGGAGGAAGAGCTGGAAGAGGCTGTGGGCCATATCCACCTGGGACCTCAGTGTAGTCCAGAGTCAGTGGGTGAAGTATTCCGCCTGGGCCGGCCACGGCTAGCTGCCCACTGTGCCCGCTGGACACTGGGGCCAGGGCAGTGCCCACGGAAGCGGGCCTTGGCCCTGGTGGGGCTTGTGGAGGCAGCAGGTGAGGAGGCAGGTCCCCTGACTGAAGCTTTACTGACTGTGGTAATGGGGATTGAACGGGGGGGCAAGAGTCCAAGCCTAGACTATTAATATCTCCTCGGAGGGGACCCAAGGATGCGTTGACTATGAAGAAGGCCTCCCTCAGAGTGGCACGGGAAGAAGTCTGAGCAGAAGGAGTCACCTCTGAAGACTGATGAGAGGATGGAACTAGACCCCAGGATGGTGGACTGAAGACTCAGGAGTAAGAAGCCAAGGCAAGGGTCTGGGCATGAGGCCCATGAGATGGAGAAGGGCCCAGGGCCCCAGGCCCCTGGCCTGGCCTACCCTTCTGGAATTGAGATTAAAACTTTGAAATTGGATATCTCTTATATAGTGTCTCTGCATACTTTCCTGTGAGAATCTTCTCACCTGTTCATTCATCAAGCAGGGTCCTGTCCAGGTTTCTGTGTCTCAATACAGGACACCCTTGGCATGTAGGAGTTTAATAAGCAATTCCTGGAGACCTGGGATAGAGTAGAGTTCCCAGGCTTCTCCCTAGGATGTGGTTTTGGGCCCCAAGGGAAGCCTACTTCCTGCTTACAGCCACTCAGCCGGACATGCAGACCTTGGTCAGGGCTGAGGACTGTGCTGAGGGAATGCTATGTGTGGCAATGTATGTCCAAAGCCTTGGCATTTTTTCTGAGTGTCCATCACCATCCATCTAGGGCCTTCAGCCTCTCGGTTCATTTTCATCTCTTGGGCCAAGTGTCCTGATGTTTGCCTGAAGGAAAACCTGCTATGTTCCTGGAGTCCCTGAGGCCATTTTAGTCATCATGCCCAGAGAGAGCCAAAGCCCTGGGCTGGTATTGAGGTGAGGGCAGGGCTCATGTTGCTTTGATCTCCAAGGCAGGGTCTCTATCACTTGGCTCCCAGATCGCTGATCATGCAGGTGGCACCCTGACTTTGAGGAGGGTACCTTTACTGGGTCTGCCAGTTGGCCTCTGGGGAGCTTAAGTTGACACTGCTGTCTCTGTGCCTCTGTTTGTCCAGGTCTTTGTTTATTAGGCTGTACATTAGAACTATCCAGAGAACTTTTTAAAGATATTTAAAAATACTGATGCTCGAGCCCTTTTTAGTTGAATTAGACTGAGGGAAGGGTGTCCTGGGCATCAGTATTTTTTTAAAAACCCACCTCCTCCCTGCTTATTCTTATTTGCTGTTTTTTTTTCTTCGGTTTAATTAACATGGCCTATTGCCTTACAGGAAAAATACAAAATTAAGATCAATTCTTGTAAGGATTTCAGTTCAACAGGGGTATATTATAAGAGATAGTATTAACAAATATAACTATATAGTTGAGAATCATCTATGCGGTATGATTCTTATTTTTCTGAAATGTAATCTTAAAACAGGGTTGTACTCTATATTAGTCTTGTTAGCCTTGTTTTAAGCATTTGCTCCACTGTACAACAGAACATATTTACTTCAGTTCCACATAAAAAATATGTGTGCTGTAAGAAAATTTACATTTTAATTTAAAAATTATACATATAAATTAAAGCCTATGTTAAATATTTAATACTCTCCACCTAACAAACCATTTTGTATGAAATGATTTATAATGATGCTTTGTTGTACACAGTTTCAGTAGCAGATGAAATGTAAATGCAATGAGAGTATATCCATTTTCTCATGGCATGGTGGTCAGCACATTGGCTTATGTGGCTAGCTAAGTCCTTAGGGTCAAAATACTCATGTCTGGACTCAGATCTGGGTTGAGACCCACAGTCCAGTGGCTACAGCACGATTGTGTCTGTCTATACCCATCTACAGAGTATCCAGAGTATCTTCATTTCTCAGAATCTGAGTTCAGGAAAGCCCTCTTGTTCCTTTATGGCAGGCTGGAGTCTGTGTCTTCTTTGCTTTCTTCTCCATGTTCATCAGTATTTGGGAAGAGGCTCTTTTGGAACAGCTCTGGGCCACCTCAGTGTTGGAGAAGGGCTTTGTCTTGAAGGCTGGCTGAAGTCTGGCTGCCTTGGAGTGTTTTCTGAGTCTGCATGGGGCTTGTGCCTGGATTTCAGTTTAACTGTATGTTTCCAAGTCTTAGAGAGAAGGTCCTGGTTTAGAGTCTGTGGAAGGGTTCATTGTGTCTGTCTCTGTCTCTGAGAGATTTCTTTATACCTAGTATATGTGCCTTTTGGGATCTCTGTTTATGTTGTTGTTTGTCAGGGTCCCTAGGGAAAGGTCTCTGAACCTGGCATCAGACTGACTGATCCTTAAAACATCATTCCTGCCTCCGATCTCAAAATTCTGTCTGGATCAAGCCTCTTAGGAAAGTCCCGGGTGGGAGGGGGGCTCTGTCTGAGACTCAGGATGCCAGCTTTGAGAGGTGTTTGCTTGGGGGGTCTCAGTCTGTATCTGAGAGTCTCACTGGGCAGAAGATCTCCGGCATGATCTGAAAGAGCCACTTCTCTGACATTGGTTGTGGCTGCCTGGGGCTCCCTGCAGCCAAGGCCAAGGCTGGGGTGTGGTCGAAGGCGGGCTGGGCCTGTGTGGGCTGGGCCCTCCCTCCCTTACACACCCCCACCTCGGGTTCTCCCGTTCGATGCTCCCTACTCCCCGCAATTTACCTCCAGCCCCATCCCAACTGGTCCCGGCTTCCTTACAT